TTTTTCACTTTGACGTCAACATTTCTTCTAAAATGTTTCTAATGATGAATGTTATCAGATGACTCATGGATGCTTGTTGGATAGTTCAGAAACAAGTAAAATTTGGCCTCTGTAACAAATGGGTTTTTGCTGATTGCAGATGTTTTTAGCTTGGAGACCACCTAAATTGAACTGCAGAACAGAATGGAGAGAAGAAAAAAGGCACAACACACTCCCAATTGTTTGTGAGGACAAATTGAAAAATCCAACCTTCAAAAGTCGAGGTGTGTATAGCTCATAATGAAATTTTTTGTACCAATTGAAATGAACATCTTTCAAGTTGGACGAGGTTCAGATAGAAAATTGTACTCGCTGTGTCTATTGAACTATTCATGTATATAGTCCCAAGGTTTTATACATAATTGTTTGATAGATTGAATAATGTCAAGATTTTGACCACTTTGATGATGGTTGGTTAGCATGAACAAGTAATATATATGGTTACCCTAATTCACACCATGCCGTAAATTATATTATGCTCTATCAATATTCGATCACATGATTAGTTGATGAATTCTTTTATCGTATGAACTCTACATTGTTCTTTGTTCACTACTATTGTAGTACCAACAAATTTCTCCTCATGACCTGAGCCAAAGATATAGGATTTTTTTTTTCTTACTTGGACTAGTAAACTGCCCCATGACTAGATTTTTTAGAATAAGTTTCCTGACCAATATATTTTTCATTGCACTCAATAAATCATTCAGTTCCTGATCTGAATATTTTTAAAGGAAAAAATAAATTCACCTAATAAATGTATTAGTTTATATAGGAAAACTTTATATCTCACATGATTAAAAGAAACTTTAGTTTTTTTTCCTTTAATTTTTTGCAACCTAATGTCCGGTTTATGTAATTCTCCTCTCTTTCCTCATTTGAGATGCTTTAAACATTTGCAACCCTATAAATGAACCTGCAACTTCTTTTAGCGACTAAGACATGAGTTTCTTTTTTCCTTTTTTAAATAAGGTTAGTGGGTTTTTTTTCTGATTATATTGAGCAAGGTGAATAAATCCTAAAACACTTGGAAAAATAATACTTTTAAAAATATTTTTTGATGTACCGGAATTGTCACATAAAAATTTCATTCTAATTAACAGCCTTTTTTTTTTTGACAAAATATTTCCTTTTTTTTTCTTTTGCATTTTTGTTTTTCCTTTCTGCTAGCTAATGAATAGAACCAAACATTTGAAATTGATAATAGATTTTTTTTTTTTTAATAGAGGAAATTGAGAATAGAGGTTGAGTGAGAATATATATATATTCTATCTTAAAAGGAGAGAAATACATATTATGAAGCAAAACTAAACCAAACAAATTTAAACTATGCAATGAAGTCTCGGAAATATGTTGTGAATGAGCCAATACGACATGAATTTGTAAGCCTTTTGCGTCAAATGAACTCCATCCCAACTAATTCGTTCATCAGGGTTAGGACAAATTGGTACTCCAGGAAGACCACACATTTGCATTAAGGTGAACTCATAATCACCCCCAATCCCACAACAAGACTTTTACATGGATGTTTTGTCAAATCCTATATATTACAGACGACGCCAAATTATTAGATATATAGTATTTTCTACATAAATAAAAGTATATTGCAAAGAGTACTCTAAAGAAACTTACCAAGTAATGAAGCGTGTCGAAGAACCCACAAGAGTGCATTATAATAATCGCCATATATAATCATCACATTTGGGTTCTCTTTTCTCAACGATCTAATAGCATGTTTAAGATACTTATTGTGATAGTTTGCTAAAGCATTCAAATCCTTCAAACAGTGAAGCTCATCATAAGCAGTTGAATCCTTAATTTGAAATCCAGTGAGATAGATTGGTAGACAATCTATTGGAAAGTTTCCTGGAACAATAACTCGAGCAGCACCATAATCTATGACTCTACACAACACACAATTACGAAAGAAAATAATAAGAATTTTAGCTTAGACAGAAGGCAACAATAATATATACTTAAAAATATATATATGTATAACATGTACCGTGATAGCATCTTTTATAGTTTGAACAACTTCGGGCACCATACTTTTAACTTCTTCAATAGTTTTGCCTTGGAATAGAGCATAATTGTAATCATTCCTTCCAATCTCACCAACAAAAAACAAAGCATTCTTTAACTTCTCTGTGCAATCTATAAGATAGACAAGCAAGATAATTAGTATATAATAAAAAAAATTAAATATGAAATACACTCGATTAAATTCAAATCAAGTATATACAAACCTCTTTGATGAGAACAAATAGTATTAAAATGGATAGACATCCAATCAAGTTGTTTAGTTAGAGATGAGTCGGTGACCGGAGATAATATCTTGTTTAGAGCAAGTACTTCAGAAGGTAAAGCTGTAGAGCCAGCCATAGCAAAATTCACTCCATGACTTGTTGATGCTTCTTTGTTCAAATACGGGTTGATCAAAGGAAGTCCAGCCGTTAAAGCTGTAATTAAAATGATAAAATTTTATTGACTATTTTCGTGCGATGATTCTCTGAAGCCTCCTATTTTTAGGAAGTTAAATATTAAGAAAACTTAAAATATGAAAAGAAATATAACATAATAAAATAAACTAATTTAACATTTAAAAAAACATGGATTAATTTATTACAAGAAACAAACATTAGAAAGTAAGTTTGATGACGTAAGTGTAAGTAAACAGAAAAAACGATCAAACAATAAACGATAAAATTCACATACTATTTTGTTTTTATTTTTTATTTTTAATTTGAAAAGCCTCGTAAAATTGCAATTATAGCAGTGACGTGAACTAACTATGAGAACAACCAGAGATAAGCATATTATTATATTTTAATTAACGTGAAAATTAGAAAGAACTTTTTCATATAATACAGGCTTTTTCTTCTTCTACATAGGGAAACGAGACACAAAAACTTTACTGAATTGATCGATCATTAGTAAGCCGTTAGAACAGCGGCCAGTTGCATTCTTGAAAAATGTTTCTCCATATGGAAGATGAGAAAATGGAGTCATTGAATTTTCACGTATGAGATTTCCAGTATCAGATATGGAGTCGCCAAGCTGAAAGATCGCGTCGAATCTACATGCCTTGAGCAGATGAGCATTAGAGGCAGCAGGAAGGAGAAAAAAGAAGGAAGAGCACATAAGAGCGAGAGCAAAGATTGATTTAGCGAAAACTGCCATTGATGCAGACCAAAAGTGGAGAGATAAAGTTGAGAGTAGTGATTGTGTGAAATATTGACGCTCCCTGTTTATAAGAACTAAGATGAGAATATCCTAATCCTCTTACGAATAGGAATTTTGAAACAATTGTGAAATTCCTTCTGATTTACCTTTTCTTTTTCTTTTTTTTATTACGTTTCCTTTTCTATTTAAGTATATCTTTATTTTAGAGATAATTTGTGATATAAAATTATAAATCGTAAATTAAACATAAGGTTACACATTCAAAATTTATTAATCAGTTAATACAATACAAGCATAGCTTATCATGAATAAAATATTTATAATCCTATATATGGTACTAAAAATAAAATAAAATATTTATTACCAATTATTTGATTCTGCATCCGTGTAACTTTTTAATTAAAAAATTCTAGTAATTAGATTTTGTAAATTTAATGTTATTAAGTATATAATCAAGAAAAAAATTACAGGTGCATTGATGATCTAAAAATATATATCTGAAAATAATATAAAAAGAATAGAGTTATATTTTTACATATTTATTTTTAGTAGCAAATTTAAAAATTGAATTTCAACGTCAAACAATATAAATAAATGTTTAAGATAATATGGTTTACTTTTTTCGTTGTACAATATTTTAAATAAATGATCCCCTCGACCAATCTAATCTAAACCCCATGAGCCAGAGCCACCTTCAAAGGGACGAGAGCGGCAAAAATTTCCAAGCAGTACAGACGGATTCCCCCGTAGTCTCCATCTTCTCTTCTGCTCTTCATATCTCCAATCTCCACTTAACAGCAAATAGAGGTACGTCTTTAAATTTGAGGTCACCGAGGTTTATGGTTTCAACTTTTTTCTCTTCACATGGCAACTCTGAAAGATGCTTTTCTCTCGCCAAACAACGCGTCTCCTGTCCTTCCATATCCATCGTCTTCTAAGTTAAACTTCGACCTCCATCCCAGTCTTGGATTTTCTCGAAATTCCATGAATTTAAACTGTAGGATGCATTTCACCGCGGTATCGGCCCATAATCCACCCCGGGGTCAATTCGTTCCAGCTGCTAAAAGTATCGATCGTAATGATGTAGGTTCTAATATCCCAATTGCTCGTAGTTTGGTTTTGCTGAATAGTAATTTTTTGTCTGATTCTAGACAGACTCGTGCTCATGTTGTTAAGTCAAACGTTCATCGAGTTGATAGTTTGTTTGGGAACAAGTTGCCAAAGTTTAATGCCCAGGATGTGAAGTGCGTGGATAGCGACTGTAAGCTGTTCGATGAAATTCCCGAGAGAACTCTTCCAGCATATGCAGCTTTGATTAGGGCGTATTGCCGGTCACAGAAGTGGAATGAGCTATTTGCGGCATTCAGATCGATGGTTGATGAGGGCATACAACCTGACAAATATCTCGTACCCACGATTCTTAAAGCGTGTTCCGGAAGACAATTGGTGAAGACAGGTAAAATGGTCCATGGGTTTGTGATTAGGAAGACGTTTGTCTCTGATATTTTTGTTGGGAATGCTCTTATGAACTTCTATGGTAATTGTGGGGATTTGAGATCTTCGATTGTTGTTTTTGATTCGATGAGTGAAAAGGATGTGGTTTCGTGGACTGCGCTTGTTTCGGCTTACATGGAAGAAGGCCTTTTGGATGAGGCGATGGAAGTTTTTCACAACATGCAATCAAGTGGGTTGAAGCCTGATTTGATATCTTGGAATGCACTGGTCTCAGGGTTTGCTCGCTATGGAGAGATCGACATTGCTCTCCAATACTTGGAAGAAATGCAAGAAAAAGGGTTGACTCCAAGGGTTAATTCATGGAATGGAATCATATCTGGCTGTGTTCAAAATGGGTATTTCAGAGATGCTTTGGATGTATTCATAAACATGCTGTTTTTTCCTGAGAATCCAAATTCTGTTACTGTTGCTAGTATTTTACCGGCTTGTGCAGGGTTGAGAGATATAGGCTTAGGCAGGGCTATTCATGCATATGCTCTTAAGTCCGAGCTGTGTGTGAACCTTTATGTTGAAGGATCATTAGTTGATATGTATTCAAAATGCGGACAAGATTATTGTGCTGAAAAAGTTTTTGCCAGAGCGGAGAAGAAAAACATTACATTGTGGAACGAAATTATTGCAGCTTACGTGAATCAGGGAAAAGTTAGCCAGGCATTGGAACGTTTCAGATCAATGCAGCATCATGGACTAAAACCTGATGTTGTAACCTACAACACACTGCTAGCTGGGCATGCAAAAAATGGGCAGAAAGTTGAAGCATATAAGTTGCTATCTGAGATGTTACAGAAAGATTTGACACCCAATGTTGTATCTTTAAATGTTTTGGTATCTGGATTTCAACAATTTGGGCTTAGTTATGAAGCTCTAAAATTATTCCGGACCATGCTATGCACTGGTTGCCTCCTTAATAAGGTGATTACTTTGCCAATTCGACCAAATACTGTCACCATAACTGCTGCTCTGGCTGCTTGTGCCGACTTGAATTTATCGCACCAAGGGAAGGAAATCCATGGATATATGTTGAGGAATGGTTTCCATGACAACCACTTCATTTCGAGTGCTCTCATTGACACATACATAAAGTGTGAAGATATTGATTCGGCAATTCGAGTATTTAGGAGAATAAAGAACAGGAATGTAGTTTGTTGGAATGCCTTGATTGCTGGTCATATGAAAGAAAGGCAGCCCAAAGTGGCAATTGAACTCTTCTGTGAAATGCTCGTAGAAGGCATAAAACCAAGTTCAGTCACCCTTTCAATACTTCCCCCTGCCTTAGATTTAGGGGTAGATTTGAAAGTGAGAAGACAGCTACATTCCTATATCACCAAGAGTCAGCTCCTCGAATGGTGCAATGACCTTGCAAATGTCTCAAGTTTCGGAAAATTTTAATGGAGGAGCTCTGCTTCATGGAATGTAGTGACATATTCCGTGTATGACTATGGAAAGGCCATCCTTATCTCTCAAGAAAAGAAAATGTTCGGATTCCCTTATTTCCTGTAGAGAACTGTGTGTGAAAACATTAGATGAAGATTTCAAGGCAGTGAAGGGTAAATCTTGATGATGCAGAGTTCAGTTCAGGCATTTGACCTGCTTCTTCTATGGCAATCAGCCAAACTTTGGTTTTAGTAGATGTGGAGTGAGGCACATCATTTGAACCCCACCCCCACGATCCAAGGGGAACTTTCTTGCGAGATGGAGATGGAATGATGTTAAAAAGAAATTGCCCAACGCTACTTTGGTTTACCCTCCTAAGAAGAGTAGTTTGCAGTATGTGGTGGGTTTTGGGATGGTAAAACCCTAGACCGTGAACCAATACTTCCCATAAAAATAATTTCATATTTCAAGGCAAGATGCAAATTCATGCAACGTTCAGTTGTAGTGTATTGAGGTGGTGTTGACCATAAGTGAACTCTAAGGCTCTACATTTTTCGATTTTTCATAAGGAAAACAAGTTAAATGGGGATGAATGAAAGTTAAAAGGTCCTGGGTGGATTGCAAGAAGGGTTTTTTTTCCTTCCCTTTTTTAATATCTTGGGCTCCTTTTTCTCAGTGCTCAAGAGCCCATGTGGCATCTCAAAGTATTGTAAGTGCGAAAGACTGACATTAATTAATTGAGCGATGGAGAGATTTGACTTCACATCATCATATAGAGCAGTAACTCGTGGTTTCTAACTCCATGTTTGTTGCAATCCTTGGTAATATTTTGGATCACGTTGGCTACCAACCAGGCAGTTCGTGGATTGATGAGGAGATAGTTCGAACTTTTCTTCGGTGGGTTAATTCCAACTCTTCACGAACTGAATGCCATCATTTTCTATTCCAAAGACTCAAAAGATCTTCTTTTTATATTTTGTTAAGCCCTAGATCTGACAACAGATTTGTCATTCGTCTTGTAATTTGATAGACGAGATTATAACGTCTAATTCTTCTTGATATAGGGATTGAATTTCTATCTGAATTATCTGTCATGAAGTGCGTAGGGGCATCGAATTCGATTTGAGGTTGATTTCGATGTTTTCGTTGTATACCACAGAGGATTTTGGTTTCAAGTTTCGACTATTTAAATGGTAAAATTCATATTTAAGAATCTTAATTTAATGACATTTAAGAATGGAAACGGTAGAAGAAAGAGAAAATACGATAGAGTTCTGTGAGAGAAAGGGAGAAACCAACGGTGGGAAAAGTAAATCTGAGGCAAGTATTCCGTCAGTAGTTTGACTTTGAAGAAGATAGTCTTCAAATTCGAGCGTTCGGCAGACAGTACAATCGATTCAATTCCAGAACAATATTGAGTAATTTGGTTCCTTCCTCGCATCAAATCGTGCTCGCATTTGCGTTTCTCAACCAACAACAGTAAGCATGACGCATTTTGATTCTTGATAAAGAGTTCCAATATGGGGGAAACCCTAGGATCTATAGCAAATTTCTCCGTTATATGGATTCAGCTGCAGAAAAGCATGTAATTAGCTTCTTGGATTCCATTTTCTTACGCTTATCGACCTCTCGGATCCATCGGTTGAACCTCTGCAATTTCCATCGCTTATAAATGTGTGAACAAAAAGTATGTACTGCAATCTGGGAGCAAATAAGGAAGAATATGGGAGAACTGAGAAACAGGGAGAAAAAGAAAGGTGGGGTCGATCTCTTGTGGCAAGATAAAACTGAGTTCACAAAAGAGAGGTCGATCTTAACAAATTTACTGTTTGAGGCGAAGATTTTCCTTTTAAAGTTCGAACTTGTAAATTGATGGCGTTATTCTCCACTATTCTCGTATGATGTGATACGTGATTGTTTATTTTATATTCCTTAACGAGTTAGTTGATAATATTGATTTTTGAATAGATTTGCGTGGCTATTAGACAGTGTAAGTTTTCATTTTCTTTTTGATATTCCTTACATATGCAATTCCTGATATAAATTTGAAAGTTATATTCAGGGGCATTTATGTGTTGCCTCTGACTGTTTTTTCTATCTATTCTATACAAGTATTTATCCATAATCCTCTTCTACATGATTTCAGGGTGAGGTTTTGATAGTGTCTCTCTCTGAAGACATTTCCAAATGGATGAAAATGGACCGCAAACACCAGAAGAAACCCTAGATGCTGAAATCAAATCATTTTTTGATTCAGCTCCACCTTTGAGGAATATTGAAAATATCAGTGAAAGTTTGAAGAACTTTATTGAAATCAATTCATCACCAGCTGGCAAGTTCTCCCTTAGTTAATCTCTTAAGCGTGTCTTTTTATTTTGATTAGTTGCTGTTTCCTAATATTCTACTTATTATTTATAATTAGTTGAATTTTATTATTTTGCTTGTAAATATAGGAAGTAGAAGTGCCAGGAAAGTTGTTTGTGTGACATCTGGGGGAACCACGGTTCCTTTAGAGCAAAGATGTGTTCGCTATATAGACAACTTCAGCTCAGGTCACAGAGGAGCAGCTTCCACAGAGTAAATTACATTACACACTTCAATATGTTTTATACTAGAGATCACACATTGTGGTTGTTTTTTTTTTAAGTGATCTTGCTAATTTCTATTAGGTACTTTCTGAAGGCTGGATATTCAGTTATCTTCTTATATCGAACGTACGCACTCGTCTTTCTTGGAACTTCGTGGTGTAAGAATTATTTTAGGCTAAGGCTTGATACTTTCCTGGGCGAATTTGTGTTTCTGTGATCAGGAAAACCTGTCAACCATATTGCAGTTTGCTTCCCGATGATCCATTTCTGGAGTGTTTTGAGTTCACCTGTGATTCAGGCATACAAGGTTTGTGATTTTCATTATCCACAACCTAATCCAAGCCCGGCTAGTTACAACTGTAATAATGTCGTATGTTCCGCTGTATGCATAATAATAATACTTGAAAACGTTCATTTTTTCATAGGTATACAAGGAAGCTGGTGAGTTTGAAATGACTCTTAAAATTGTGGGAAGTGCTCAAGTCCATTCACATTATTTTTCAAAAAATTTTATGGTGTTTGGTTACATAGTAAAAGTGATTGAAAAACTTCTGATAACACTTGTGAGAAACATGGTCGGAGGGCTTTCTTGTGATTAGGTCTTTAGGGAGGGGGATCTCTCTTCCACAGCACTCAGGTTTGGTCCTTTTGTGATTAAAAACATTCCCAGGTTTCTTATCTAAAAATAATAATTAAAAAAAAAAAGAAAGAAGAGAAAGAAAGAAGGAAAAGTGTTTTACCAAAAAGTATTGTGCTCAAAAGTCATCCCAAACACGTATTTGATTTGGTATACAATGTTATTGTTAACAGTTTGGTGTAATATCAATGTTTGTTATCAAATTCTTGATATTCAGTTTACTTCATCAAGCAGATGTACCTTTTTTTTGTTGTCTGAGGGTTGGGGTTAAGTTACCTCCCTCTTCGAGCACTTTGCCTTTCATTTTATTGATTAATTGCTATAATTCATGGTGCTGATGACTTTAATTCATTACAAAATTCAGTGCGCCAGTCATATTCAGAAGCAGTGAAGAGTGCAATCAGTGAGCATCATGCTGTATGGACGACTTAGTAGTATCATTTCTCCATTTAGAGTTTGATTTTTCTTTGTTTCTTCTGTGTATTAGCCGCTCATAGCTTACTCGGTTGGTAATGAAATCCAGTGATTAGGAAACTTTTTTTTTTTTTTGAAATCCGTGTGTCCGGGCCAGCTCGCGCGCACCTCGACTAATCACGGGTCAACCGCCTGACCCTACTACATTTGGTTGACAAGGCAGTGATTAGCAAACTATAATAGCAAAATTTGGGATTTGATTATTGCAGGCAGTAGCAGATGGCACACTTCTAAAACTTCCTTTTACAACCATTTTTGAATATCTTCAGGTAATTTTCCTTTTCTTTTTTCTTTTTCTTTCTTTCTTTCTTTCTTTCTTTCTTTCTTTCTTTTTTTTCTTTTGTGTGTGTGTTAAAACCCAATCGTTACTTCAGTGTTACGTCTATATTTTTGTGCTAGCTGTAGGAATGAGATACTTTATTAGTATAGTCTATGCCTTATATTGGTCAAACTTACAATGTCTTTAGTTTGAAATTCAGCATGCTATAATGTGCAAGTTTTGATGAAAGCATTGATGGGGTTCACAAAGAAAAATAATATTCATTCACTCTGAATTCCGCAAGTTTGAAATGGAGAAACTTGTTCTCCTCCAATCACACAAGATGGAAAGAGAAGAAAATGGTTCTGTTGAATAACTCACTTCTTTTTTATTTTCTGTACTTGCTTTATTTACGAAGGAGAAAAGGACCTTTTATATACTACCTCCATAACGCGTTCAAAAAGACACATAAGAAAACATGGGTACAATGCTTTCATACATTCAATGCATCTGATATATCAATATTCATGTACTTTGAAATGCACGATCCCCATGTATCTTAGAAAATGTATGAAACAAGTTTATGTAGAAAACATACGGTAATTAAATATTCTTCTCGATCTGAAAAAAAAAAAACTTTGTTATTTTATGGCCTTGACTAGCTTGGCTAATTTTAGTTAGACTAGCTACCACTTATGCATTATTACCTATTGTCTTTTTTTAATATTATTATTTATTTATTTATTTTACAGATGTTGCACTTGATCGGGACATCATTGAGGAGTCTTGGACCCCATGCACTCTTTTATCTTGCTGCGGCTGTCTCTGACTTTTATGTTCCATGGGAGAGCATGGTAATGGTTTAGAGCATAAATCAATTGTTTCTTTTCTCCTCCTGGGCCCAAAACCTGCCAACACGACAAAATTTTCAGAATGTATGAATGAAAGAAAAATTATAAACATCTAATGGACATCTGTTATAATCAATGAAACACAACATTTGTGACTCTAAATGATATTTGTTTAACCATTCACGTAACTACTTGGAAATTGTTACCTTCATCCATTTTTCTAGTCTTTTCATTTCAGGCAGAGCACAAAATTCAGTCAGGATCAGGTCCTTTAGACATGCGACTTGCTCAGGTGCCAAAGATGCTATCAGTGCTGAGGAGTGAATGGGCTCCAACGGCGTACTGTATATCCTTCAAGGTATGTTCTGCTGCTTGAAACTATGTGAATATATGTCAAGGGGATATTTAACCCTATTGCACCACCCCAAAAAAAACCAAAGGAAAGCTTGTTGCTTTTATATGATTTTAAATGTTCTTTTATAACTAACAAAAGCATTTCATAGGGAAAATGAAGTGTACAAAGAGCGGATACAGACAAAAGCCCCATCTGAAGTTCATAAAATGCTTACTTAACGTAATGGAGTAGCTATCGGAGAGAGAGAATAATTAGATCAATTGCAATAGAGAACCAACGCAACTTCCCGAATTTCCTCCATTGACCGTAGTTCTTATAAATCACTTGGTCCATAGGAGAGCTTGAATGGAGTTGTCAAAGAACCATTCTTTCTTCCTGCTTAAAAGCCAGTTGAATGGGTTTTGGGAGTTCTTGGTTGAAGTTAAAACAATTAAGAGAAACTTCTATTGGATAAAATTCAAGAAAGGGCATTGAAGAAAGTGTATGGTTAACCTCTTCATTCTCGTTTCTGCCCAACGACACTGATTACGGCCTACGGGAGAGAGTTCTGAATGTGTTTTCCCTTTATATTATTGTCTCATGGAACCCGTTAGAACCTTCCCATTAGAACCTTCTACTTCTTAGGGTACTTGGCTTTCCAAATAAACCTTTGAGAATTGGAGGATTCATAAATGAAATCCCGATCTTAGCGATAGAATGCCACAGGCTGAGCACTGAGCTAACCAGAAGTATCTCACCCACGCGTTCTCACTATCGTTGATCAAAAATTTCTTGATAGGATGCCTATCAGGAACTTGCTATAGGGGTCAAAGATGAACAATTGCTGGTTTTAATTTATTTTCTTTAGTGACTCAAACTCTGAGAACTCTAGGATCAGTGCACAAGAACTAACACATTATATTCACTGTGCACTAGATGTATAACATAATTTGCACTGTCCCCTTAAAATAATAGTATAATGCCATTACATATAAATGTTCGGAACAAGGATGCTTCTGCGATGATCATGCCATTATGCCAATTGAAAGTCGTTTGGAGTTCTTTTTATTTTTCACTAAAATTTCTCCTTTGTTGAACAGCTGGAGACTGATGTAAAAATTCTCTTGGAGAAGGCAGATGCAGCTCTGAGAAAGTACAAGATGCATATGGTCATTGCAAATGAACTTTCGACCCGCAAAGAGGAGGTGACTCTTGTTACTGAAAATGAGAAGATACATGTTCGGCGTGACCCGAAACTGGTTGGTGATGAAGTGGAGAATCATATTGTCAAACATATAGTTGAGAAGCATTCTACTTATATCAATGTCTTTGATCACTAAGTGTCAGAGGGTTGCTGGATCATACGAGTGATCGAGTGCAGAGTCAACACCCCTTATCTGTTTATACTTTCCTTGTCTAGTTTACATGGTTCTGCTCGTTTCTGGTAGAAGAGAAGATCTACGTCCTGAGTCCCTTTGTTGAACTTAAATACACAGGGCGAAGCTTTACATGCATGCTAATGTTGGTTCTAATTATACGAATAATATTTTGTCTCAAGTTTGTCATGTAAAACTTGTAATTTCACTAATCAGTGAAGTTAAAGCGGCTTCCAGAGATGTGGCATACTTGATAAAATCATGTGGCTTGTCTTTCTGTTACTTGTTTAATAACAAAATTAGCTGTGTTGTCTATTCTTCACTTGCGAGTTCTTCGTTGTCTGGTAAATGCATCTTCTGCATCTGTTGGAGGGTTCTTCCATTTGAGATAGAATTGGATAAGCATCATTATCAAAATTACAACAGAACCAACTATTTTCAATTTTCCACCATCTCATTGCACAACCATTTTCAATAGAGATTGGAATATTGAATGAAGCTAACTTCCACACGCTTTCAAACACTCAWTTCAAATTTAGAATTAACACCCAAAAAGCACCAAGCATTCTTGCCTACTCAAAATGATTTATAGAGACATTTAGAGAAACACTTTCAAGAGATGAACCAAACATTAAACACAATTTATTGAAGTACTTATGATCAAATTATTTTGTCAAAATTACTTATTTAAAAGCAGTCCCAAACACACTGTTACTCATGGCTATAAAAGATTTACCGTCGGACTTAATTTACTTTCAACCACCCTAAAAAACTATTTCATCCTCCCTCACTTCTCTTCACCCGTTTTGCAGTAATAAAAGGGGAAAGGGGAGAAGCTACATTCCTGTGCAAGAACCTTTTTCTTCCTTTTGTAAAATAAATAGTATATACAATTAGAAATTATTCTAATAATATTTGCAGTAGTATATACAACTGTTAATCGATTCTTTAGAAGGAATTCTGTGCAGAAATTTTTCTCTGTTCTTTCTGTTTTTTTCTAAGAATATTTGCAGCATTAAATTTGAGGCCAATTAATTCAATGTATTATCTACAGGTTGTCATCATCGTCTGTATCAAGCTCGAGGCCTTCCTCAGCTAAAAGTTGGCTTATTACCTTTCTCTTTTCATCCTCTGCTTTCTTTCGCATTAAGTCCCTCTTCTTCAACACAAGTGTGTGTCGCTTGAGTGTGCTGTTAAAATACTCTCTTGACGCCTTCATTTCCTTTGCCAGTAATCTCTTCTCTTCTTCTGGATCAACCTGCAATACCATTCACTTTAGGAACTAGGTGTTCCAAAAGAAAGACAACCATAAAGAAAACTGTAAAGTGATAGATAAGAATGAGGGAAAAAATCAGTAACTCTGGATAAACAATCCCAGAGTTTTTTTTTTCCTTCAAATAAGAATCTAAGAGTTGATTTTGAGATTGTAAAAATGAAATCAGTGCAATCCTTAGCATCAAATATTTGTTCACCTTTGATCGAGAAAGGCGACGTGCCCGTAGATTCATCTCACGCTGCTGTTGCTCGGCCCAAGCTGCAATTGCCATGTCACCCCGTTGATCAAAAGCTTTGCGCTTTTTAATAAGCCACTCCATCCATGCTTGAGATGCCTGATGATCAGCAAAATAAGGCTATTTGTAAGCAACTTATATCAGAATTTGTTTGACAACCAAATACCTCTACAAAATGGAACTATCAAATATGAAATCAATAACATAAATGAAAATTATCCACATCATTGAAAATTATATTCACTCAATAACATAAATGAAATCAAACCTTCATTGGGTTAACCCGGTTATCCACATCATACTGCCTCCGGTTTTCATCATCTATGAGCAACTCATAAGCAGCTTGAATCTTGATGAATCTAGCTTCAGCTGTTTCTCCTTCTTCAAGAGTTCCTCTACCATCATAAACTTTGAAGAAATAAAGAATCGGTTAACAATTGAAGAAATAAGCTCTTTAATCAAACATAAGCATGAAACATGGAGATGAAGGAAGGCAGAACACTTTTTTTTTGTGTGGTAAGAAAGGCTGTATCGATTGATGCAAAACATGGCACTGGCAAAGTAAGAACAAACGATACCAGTACTTCCATAAAACAAAATAGAACTTGAGAAGCCACGATCCATCAATCTAAATTCAGACCTATTAACAAGTAACAGCAAAAGTTTAAGACGTTGGATTAAAAGTAGCTCTATTTTAACCACCGTTTTCAAAAGTAGTATACTTATTGCACTTCAGCCCAAATTAAGCTTAGAAGACATTGCAAAATTCGTGTTACATGCCCCAAAAAATGTCTCCAGAGCTAAAGTTTCGTACGATCTTCCAGTGCAATTCTTTTGAATCCAGAAGGCAAAAAACCGAAAAAATGGGCTTTAATTTTATTTTTTTTCCTCTTTTGGCGGGGGAGGGGGCATTGTGAATAGGCTGAAAACCCCCTTACTCTCATGCACGAGTCCAATAAATTGACTAATTGGAAATGCTAATGTATCRATGACAAAGGAGTATTTGACTTACCATTCAGCTTACAAACGGTTTAATATGTGATTAACTTAGATGGTCTAGTATTTTAATTGCAGAGTTGTCATTCCTTCCTTCTCACATTTGATGAATCTCATGATTTTTTTCAAGACAAGAAGCACTTCAGGAATTCAATCATGCGAAACTTTAAACTACATAATTGTTTCACTTGAGCAAGGAGCAAACCATCTGGATGATAAAATTTGGCCAAGCGCCTATAAGCACTCTTTATCTGTTCTTCATCAGCATCCCTCTCTAACTCTGTTTTTAAAAAGAACAAATAAAAAGTTTCAAATCAATTCGATATACAACTAAATGAGATGCATAAAAGCAAAAGAATTCCATGAAATTCTGAACGATATTAAAAAAAAAAAAAAAAAAACACTATACCCTTGAAAGCATCAACAACATTTATCCCAAGATCGATAGTCCAGAGTCATTATAACACTATTAATTCCATTCACCAAATCCAATTTGTTCACGTTGTGCTACTTCAATGTAAATACACGAGATTTCCAAACGGAACTCCCAGTGCAAACCACAGCTACCTTAGAAGACAATTATATGTATAATTCGGATTTCCGAGACGAAAAACCATAAGAGCAAGAAGAAACTGTCCGCGTCAGAAATGATAAAAAATGACAGAGAGAAAGAAAGATACCGAGAGTTTCATAGGGAGATTTTTCACTCGCCCAATTGGAGGCCATGGCCAGCGTCCTCCTCTGATTGAAACGGAGCCACTTCTCGGTCCAACTGAAGCGAGACGTGGAATTGAATCCGGGAGAGAAAACCGAGAAGCGACGCTTGTAATTAGGGTTCCGAAAGGAGACGGTGGGCATGGCCTGGCATCTGCTGCTAAGAATGAAGGAAGAAAACATGGCATGGGGCCTGCACACAGTCCTCAAACTGCTCATTTTTCGCTCCACAACTGCGAACTCTGAAACCAACTGGTAACTGATATCGAAAAGCTTCGGAGAAAAACTATGAACACAAAAATGGCGAGTTCATTGGCGGGTAATATAACTAATAATTAAACTGATTAATTTCTCCTTTATTTTCAACTGCAATATTAGTTTTGATGTAAAATAAAATCTTTACATTATTTTCACGAAACTAATATTAATTTGGTGGCAATTACGTGTATCCGATTAAATTTATGAAGTCATGAGTTTGAATCTTTCAATTCTCCTTGGATGTGTTAAAACAAAAATAATAATAATACATAGAGTATAGAGTAAGAAAGATAAAATAATTTTTTATTTTAAAAAATAAATAGCTATCAATTTTTTAATGATAACTGATAGAAAAATACTTTGTTGTTAGTAAACACCTAAATATTATTATTTTTCCCGTACGTCTATTCTTTTCTATTGGTAAAGATTCACCTTGAAATAAAAAATAAAAAAATTTAACAATACCGATGGTTACCATTCAAGAAGCCGAGTCATATCATCTCAAAACTCACCGCCAACTTGCTATACTTGCATAATATTATTTATCAATTCTAAAAATGAAGCACAAGAGGTATATTTTAAAATCGATTTAAACATAACTTAAATGGTCAATACATCGCCTAAACCATTATATAAAGTTTAGATCTTCCCTATAAAAAGCCTAATAAAGAGGTTAAATATTAATTAAAATTTCATAATTACTGATTCTAACCATTATATTTGCATATTATTTATATTATTGTCAAGTATTTGAGAACACCCTTCCAAAATTCATTAACCAATCAACAACTTACATAAATATCCGACTAACATAATCATACAATCACTAATTTACACATGTTATACATTTTGTCACATTAAAAAATTATTCTTTCAACAACTATAATTGTAATATTGAATCTTTATTGTGTGCTAGACTCATAAGCCACCTTAAATTAGAAAATAATAAACACAACAAATATTTGTTGTCCACGTCATTAACCATCTCGAAAACTTAACCTTTTTTTTCCATAAGAAACCTACTTTTCACTTATATATGAAAAGGAAGAAAAATATTCAAGAACATGAACCTTTGAAGAGTAAAAGTCAAGTCATAACGAATAGAAAGCCAAAAGTTAAAATTGATACTTCATAGCAGGAAAAAGTTCAACACTAAAATTGTACATACTCCATTCTCCAACTGAAATAAGACTAAATCCATAGAACAAAATTACACAGCTGCTAATTATGGGGCTGAATACTAATGAAAAGAATATGTTCCACTGTAATACTAAGATATTTCTTCCCCTCTCATAGCCCATTCTAAAACTAAAACACATGAAAATCTACCATATGTCTTGTAATTTGTAACATAACAAAGCAAGAACTAAAAGGCAGACTAACAATAGAACCAATTAAAAACAGTGGGGGGGAATGATATTAGCAATTCTACAGATTGCCATTAGATTACGAGTAAAAATTAAAAAGTAAAAACAAAGCATACCTATCCAAAAGATTATTCAGATAATTTAGCATGCCTGATCGATCATTATAGAAACACCATCCTAACTACCCATCATCTCTTTCAACTCACACCCCAATAGCTTCTCCAGTCAATAAGTCAGCTTTACAAATGTTGGAAGCTCCCCAAAAGCACTTTTTAAGGAAGCATGAATTTCACAATTCAAACTACCAGCTCATTCTATTCTGTATGACTCAGAAACCTCACTCACCAAGCAGCCAAGCAACTTCTAACAGGGGACAGAAATCAAACTTCATATCTTCCAATACCTTTCTTTTTCATTTTTAGCTTCTTTTTTGTTTATTTTTTTATCTTCTTTACATAAGTTCATTTAATGAACGCTTCAAATAGGAAGATTCATAAATCTTTCCATGCATCAGGGAGAGGCCCATTCAAAGTAATGGCAACGTGCCCCCTTAGTTGCAGTCCAGTTACCACAGCCAAAGAAAAAACTCCCTTGCTTTGGTCCTGGCTTGCGAACCATACCTCTGCTGCTCCTAACCCCACAGAAACAGTACGGGTAGTACTGGACAATGGGAACTTGCACGGGCTTCGGTTTTATTGGCGGATGCGGAGGGAGGGTCAGTGCGTCTGGGGATTGTTTCCATGGCAATGGGCAGTCATAAGTCTGCCACATCAATGAATTGGTGATGGAAAATCTGAAGCCTCTGTGCATAAGAACGGAGAGTAAACGAGCAGTGTTCTTGGCATCATCAAGACCACAGTGAGGACGACCTTGCCATGCCAAGCCTGCCATCTCAACAGCTTCCCTCAGATTGCATCGCGCTCCACCAAAAACCTCACGAAATGGAATTTTTAAGTTGATCCATCTATCACATCAGAAGAGAGAAGTAAGAACTAAATTGTAGTACTAAATATAAATATAGTTCTTTTGCAATTACGCCAATGTTTTTTTACAAGTGAAACTTTATTGCACAAACATATGGTGGTAACATTTTGTGCTTCATTCATAGAGTATGTGAGAATGCATACATCATTTCTTATTGTGATGTTTTTAACTCGAAGAACGTGGAACTGCCTGTCCACGAACAATGCAAAGGAACTATTGGTCTACAAGAAGATGTGCGGCTATAGAAGTCCGTTAAAAGGCTAAAAGCCTAAAAGATAGCATTTTCCCTCAGAATGTTGGAACATTTTCTCGCTAAAAGTTTTAAACTGTAGTATTAGATAAATAAAAAGACTGAACACGTGATTGCCATCTAGGAGAAATTTGCACAGGAAGCTAAAGTTGTCAGAAGTTGACTGGAAAATTGCTAGGGGATGAAGGTATCCATGATTAACTGATTGGTTTGTTTTCCTGCGATGTTTTAGACTCCAAATGTGGGATACTCCTACCTCGTCTAATTACTTACAGCAAAGCACAATCGAGAGCATCTAAGATTCTAAAATGATTTTGTTCCCGGGAACTTGAGTTCTTCCAGTGCACTTCCTAATTCATGATTGTGTAGGTGTATAGTGTTGTTATTATTTGTACACTACGTAAACACAATTTSTATGACGATCATTTACCGGTTAAAATATGGAGGCTTTCGAATCTTCTTGAATCGGCATTCTGACTCTAACATGACACGGCAATCCCAGTTTGACCAAGTTACCACCGCAAAATGAGTATTCTTTATCCCTTTATTTTCAAGCCATTTATCATGCCTGAGGAGAGCTTCATTGAGAGTAACACCTCTGTCCACCTATAAAAACGAAATGAGGTCAAATGAAAATCAGAAGATCTTAAACTAGATAAGCAGCAACCAAATACGATTTTAAAGGAAACAGAATGAGACTCCAACACTCAAAAGGTTTTCATGAAACCAGATACATACCCTAAATATTCCATCCAAGTAAATATTATTGAGAATTAGAGTCTTCCCATTCCAACATTAAGGGAAGCGAAGTGTGTATAAGGGAATTAATGTCACATGAGAAGGGAGTTAGAGTCTTCCCGTTCCAACATTAAGGTAATCAGTCACTATAATTTACTCCAATAATTAACAACAAAAATAATGGAAATCACAAAAAGTACTATTAACATAGACCCACGGGGAGGCAATGAAGTGCGTAATGCTCCAAACCTCCTCCCACGAAACATTGACACCATGAAACACTTTCTTGGTCCTAGCAACCCACAGATTGCAAAGGCTTGCAAGGGAAACGCACTACCACAAATGCTTCCCCTTCCCAATGGGAATATTCAACTACAACCCCTTTGAGGAACCTAAGACAACCCAAAGGACCAAATATTTACAGTGAATGCACACCTCCAAAAAATACGATTAATATCCTAAAACACATGCTTGCAAAGCACACGCCAATGCAGACCGAGCGCCAAGGAAGAAGATCTCCAGATGAAATCAATAGCGTTAATCCTCCCCAAGGAAACAACCCAAAAGAAAAACCAACATGCTTTGGAATACTGACCTTCCAAAGCTTGCAGTACAAGGACTAAATTAAAAACGCAAGAAAGCTCACACTAAAAGATGCATTGTCAATCCAATGATTCTCCTAAAAGTGAATGAGCTCCCCCCACCCCTACAATAAATTTAACATTATTGAGAAATCAAGGGAAGCTCCTAGAAATAGCTTTCCATTTATATTTTAATATTATAATTTAAATGATAGTAAATTTGAATCAAACAACCTCTTAAATATTATAAAAACATCAAAATATTGATACTTATTTCTATTTTTTCCTTTTGAAAACAATTTCTAACAATAATCGTGCCAAACAAGTTTTCTACTCAAAGAATCCTTTCTAACAATAATCGTGCCAGACAACTTAGCTTCAAACACTCTCTTAATGTCCAATATCTAGAAAGATGTGGACGTGTCAACAATTTAAAGAATTTTCACATAGCTATAGGTGTTCGAGCAAGTATGCACCTTAAAAATAATCTTATGAGAACCTGCAATACTAATAAAAACAATACTTATTATACTTGAGGCTATTTAGGTGTAAGTTTGTTTGATGAACTAACTTCCTCAAACTATTTTCTATGGTTTTTCTTTAAAAAAAAAAATTAAGAAACTGAACTTTCATTGAGGATAAATGAAAAAGTATACAAGGAGCATACAAAAAAAAAAAANAAGTCCGTCAAAGGAAACCAATCTATAATAAGGGACCTCAACTCAAAAGAATTACACCTATCTAGTAATTACAAAAAGCCTTAGAAACCGACATCCACACAGAGGTATTAAATCTAACTAGCTCCCAAATATATTTTCTATTGTTTTTCTAATAATATATATCAGAAAATATATTTTTTATTCTTTTGTGTTTTACTTTGCTATGTGTGATTATATGAACAATTAATTAACATAACAACAATGAAAAAGCATGAAAACAGCTAAATACTATTTGTGTTATTTTGTCTAAACTTAAAAAAATAAAAAAATAAAATAAAATAAAAAGAGGACCTTGCTAAATTGCATCAAAGAAAGGCTTCTTATTTTTTAAAATAGAAGAATGTTTTAACTTAGCTTCCAACCTTTTTTTTTTAAATGAGAAACAATTTCACTTAAAGGGGGAGAAAAGACCTCAATCCAAGGGAATTACAAAAACCCAATTGGACAAAAGGGTAATGGAAAATAGGGGACAATTTACACAAGAGCCAATAAAACTTAGCTTCCAAATTTAGCTTCTTAATATTCTAGGTAGGGATTAGGGAGTGACAGGCCACATGGTTGAACAAAACTTCAAATGCATCTCACGACATAAGAAAATTATTGAACCATCAAAAGCAAATTATGTACCGAACTAAAACTGTGGAGGAGAATGGAAAGACAAACAGAGAAGGTTCAAATAATTTCAAAAATAAAATCTAGGCCAGAATAAGGAAATTCACAAGGAACTTATAGGTTTGCCAATAATAAACAACACACCAAGTTTGTTCCATCCCAACAACATGCAACCTCCAAGAGTAATTGCTTTTAAAAAATATATATATATTTTAAGCTAAGGTGCCAACAAACCTGAATTTGCTGAATGCCAGTTAGATCCCTGCAGAAATCACTCAAAAGCTGATTGCAAGTTGGGCGCACATATGTCTGAAAGCAAGCTTCCAGTTGGCCAGTCAAACTACTTACAATGACAGATGGGAATTCAATTATCTCCTGTGGATGGGGATTTCTTTCCTTATCACAGGTTGCTTCAAAGTCTATAACCACAAAATATTGGAACTCTTGCAACCGAAATTCACAAGGGTAATTCTGTTCAAATATTTTGAAAGGAACATATTGGATGCGATTCTCCACTGGCAAAGAGTAGAACTGGCATTCAGAAGCATTCATCTGGCACTGCTGCACCTTTTGAGAGTCAAAATGGAATGCTGGCCATGATCCAGAATTATGCTGATAAGCAGGTTTGTGGTGAAATTCATTTGGACGTTCAATGAAATTGTTAACTAATGGGTGGTTTGTTTCAGGAACATCATTGCTGCCATGACTACTGATTTCATCTGTAAGTTCTTGGTAACCATCAATAGAGTTTCCACTGTGTTGCAGATTAAATGGCATTCCATTATTCTGGAGACATTTTATAGAGGCCTCACAGTTCCTCTGCATACTTTCTGCAAACAAAGAAGCAAAAGAAATCAAAATAATATTAAATTTTTAAAATTTTCAACTCTTTTTTTTCATCCTATGGATAAGAATCTATTTCTTCCAATAATATTGTATTGAGAACACAAAAGGTTTCGCCAGTCAATATGGCTAAAACAATATCCAATAAAAACATACAGTTAAACAAGTAAAAGACCATCAACATTTTGAGGAAAGCAAGAATATATATCACACTTAATTCAGATGCTTATAGCTCGTTCATCATTAAAAATGTCACAAACTTCTTTTATATGTAACACAAAATGATGTGTTTAATCTCCATGAGCTGAAATACATCTTTTGGCACTCCAATCTGACACATAGACTCTACAAGAGGAGTCAAACAAAAGACGCTCCAATCTATATTTAATAAGAAGCATAGAGAAGTTACAAAAAAGATTAGTGGCACTCCAATTTGAGGCATTAACTCTACAAGATCACAGAAGTTAGCAAAAAATAGGTTTTAGCTTGATGTCACATAAACTTCCAATATGTCAATTGGAAGTCTAACTACCTCGAATTTGCAAATATATTACTAAACACCTTGAACAATTTTTTAAATTGAAATTCAACTTTCAAATCTGCTACCAAACACATATTTGAAAACACTTAAAACATGAAATACAATTCTATTTATCATTGAATCCCTTGTTTTCAAATTTCTTTTTTTAGATTACCAACCAAACGCACCCTAAGCTTTCAGAGAGTTTTTCTGCAGTCTCTCCTTGATCTTCCAAAYCTATTGTATTAAATCTTTGAGTTGGGTAAGACTTTAAAGGCTTACACTATTTGTTCCTCACTCTTTATGAAAAAACCAGCCCCCTTTCCCAAACCGTATTTGCTAACAGTCACCTCATACCAAAAGGATGCTTCTTCCAAAGAAAATCCCTACCCCTAATTTGAATCGACGTCTAAACTTCTATTTCTAAGATTGCCCAAACCAAGCCTTCCTTCTCAACTCCAATATACAACCATCCTCTGTTTAACCAAATAGCTGCCCTCATCAATGTCACTCCAAACCCATAAGAAGTTTCTTGTTTTCCTCCCAAATTCCTACCCTATACTATTAGGAACCTTAAAAGAGAGAAAGGTGGAAGGTAGAGATGCTAGAAAGGACATACATGTATAACCTAGCACACTAGAGGCCTACGACCCTTCATCCCTTTTTTTATACAAATTTTAGAAGTTGATATAGGTTAGATAGATGGACGAAAGATAGAAAGAGAGAGATCGTAGCTAAATTTCAAACTGAAGATCCTTTGCATTTAACTCAATAGTTATCCATTGTTTCATACTAATCCTCTTGATAGTCATACTATGGCAAGAATTAGCTAATAATAATGAGCCACCTTCGCCAGATGGTAAGAATTACATTCCACCTTTTGAAACACCGGTGATTCAACACCAAACTAGTTAACATAAAACCGCAATCCAAATGCTCCGTCTAAAATTCATATCACCCAAAAAAACAAAAGAAGATTCAGATGGTCATTCTCTTAGTGTTAGCACAATCCTTACCCTTCAAATTTTCGTGCTTTAAATGTTAAAGAAGCATTGAAGTAAAAGATTTCTGACTGGTAGGACCTGCCACCTAAACTCCTCACTGCTACGAAGTATGATGCTCATAAGCCCCAATCTGTAGATATTTGTGTTATTGTATCCATATCTCCGGGTCAGTAACCTCCCTCTGATCTCTAATTTTAATAACAAAAAAGCGACAAGAACTAACGTTAACTCAAAAAGGCAAATGCCCACGTCAATTTCTTCACTTAACTCCTCGATTTCTAATTAGAAAAACTACCCTCAACTCAAAACTCAAAAAATAATAACATTATACAGAATTAGATACTTCTAGTTCCCGGGAACGCTCTAAAAGGTACGAGACAAAGTCGCACAATCCCCCTCGAGAAGAAAGGGGGATGCGACTAAATCAGCACAAAATTACACTGATTGGATCATAAAATGAAACTCATAACAGTTGAGAGAAAACTTAAAACAGTTCAAATGATAAAACAAACCAAAGACACACCTTTGCGTTCAAGGGCCATCATGATCTTCAGAGTAATTGAGATCGACCACCAAGTACATCAGATCTACCTCTGAAATTCCCTCCTAAAAAACCCGATGATAAGAACAAATATACCGAAGAGTTGCCATATATACTCACGTAATAAAGGGAAAAATAAATGAAAAACAAAAACAGAGAAAAAGAGAGACCTGGTGTGATCTGGAAGGTGAGCCGGGAGAGAGGAGGGAAACAGTTTGGGGAGAAGAAACGGAAATAAGTATATATGTACGTGTATTGATGATGAAATATCGTATCAATATCAAATTATGGTTAAAATATTTTTGGATGGTAATGACGAAAATCAAATCTGAATAATATGATATTATTCAACAGTTTTTTTTTCAACAAATATCTATAAGCCTTTTTTTATATATATAATCTAAATAGTCCTATGTTATTTGAAGAATTAATAACTCCTTAAAAAAATTATTAATAATATCTTTTTAAATCACAGAACCTTACCACTCAAACATATACCATATAGATACTCGACCAAAATATAAGAGGGTAAATTTACACTAACATAAATATAGAATCTTCTGCAATAACAGATTTTGATTACTTAATAAATTGGCTTGAAGATTTATATTAGATTTATTCCTTTTATTAACAATAAGATGATAAAGATATACTTTTAAGTCATGAATAGAAATAAATCAATGATCATAGATATGATTTATAGCGTTGATGGCATATATTTTATTATTAATTATGTTAGTATGTYAACATGTTTCGTCATGCAATATTTTTTATCGGTATATGTGGTTGACGATATATACCTTAACTAATTGAGAGTTATGTTCATGTTAGCGATATATATTTTAGTTTAAGTATGTCGTCGTTTTTTTTTATCAACATAGGACAACACACTTTTCATTATTTATACGAAATTAATGAATATTGGGTTGGGAGATGTGTTTTGTTCAAATGATTAAGTGTCAATTAAATTTTACTTTTTCAAATAATCATATTTAAATGTTTCTTCGTAACTAAATTTAAAGCAATGTAGTTTTAAAAAAAATATTTTTATTTATTACGACCATTGTAAATAAATAAATAAGCTTTTCATTGTAAAGTACTTACGAAATTTAAATTACACTAAATTAGTAAATTCATTATAAATTAGTAATTATTTTTAAAAAGTATTTTTAATTTTATTTTTTGCTTTGCCGTTGGGATGGAAAAGTCTCCATGTGATCCGCTTTAAYATGGGTGAGAATTATTGGTTTATAATTGGGGTTGGGAGATGGAATCGAGGTCCCGCTTTTTATTTTGTATTTTTTTCCCGATTGTTTTTTTTTTTGGCAATTGAGAGATATATTAAATTTCATGTCGAGTCATTTTTTAAGTTAATTTATATTTGTTATTTTTCAATTTAACTTAGTTATATTACGACGTATAATAAAATAGACGCATGCCTTGCACGTATTAGTTTCTAACTCCATATTTTTTCTTTTCTTTTAAAAAGAAAAAAACAAACCCTCTAATTCTGTTATAGGTGATGTGGTTCAACTATAATAAAAGAGTTTGTTTATTATGTTTGAGAATTGAAATTTTGGTTAATTTTAGTTTTGGAAGGTTCAGGGCCTCTAGACGATATATCTCTAAAAATTTATCATTCTGGTCGATTTATTTTATTTTATAATTAGTTTTATTATAATTTTCGACCTCTTGCTCTTTGTTTTTATGACGAACACTACTATTTATCAACAAAAAAATAAGAAGCATATGGTACTTTAATATCAGTATTTAGTTCAAGATACAACACCTTTTTATAATATCACTCTCTCATATTCAAATCTTATGGTAAATAATACTTTAAAATGGTGTAAAAATGAATGAAGTTTGTGAAGAGATTACATTAAAATGTTAATATACATATGTACATATTTGACTTAAATACTATTTTTTAAAATGTTGTGTTATTTTAGTTGACCTACTTCCAAATATTAATTTACCTTGCAGTAAAACATATGTTTTTTTATATATACTTTATAAAGCAATCAATTTAATATTGAAATATATACAAAAGTTTTACMATACAAAATCATTATTACATTTTAAGAATTATAAGAAATAAACCAGATAAAATAAATATGTAAAAAAGAATTTATCAAGTATTTAAATTAACAAAAGTTGAAAGACTTATTTAATAAAATTAACAAAATTGAGAGTMCCAAACTGAAATATATGTTTTGAAAATAAAACAAAAGTTAACAAAAATTATAATTTTTTTCTAATTAAATAAAACAAGAGGGTATAGATTCCGTCATTCGACCTTTTGACATGCGTCTAGTTCAACTATGCTAAACATAAATTAAGAGTCGAGAATAAAAATAATATTTTAACAAATATATATTTGTATTTACTTGAGGTATTTACCGAGTCTGATACTTAAAAATTATTGACGTCTCGTGTATCCGGCGGACACAAATGTCTCGAGCATACGAGAGCAAAGACTCCAAATTATCTGAAAGAAAAAAAGGGCTAAAGGAAAAAAGGAGTATTAAAGATTTAATATAATTTCCCCTCAATAAATCTCTTCTTGGCGGGCTTCCGTCTCTAAAACCCTGCGGCAACCCCTAGTCGGCTCTCCTAAACCCTGCGTTTGCTTTCTGCTCGATAACCCTGACAGAGGAAGAAGACATTCTGAGTCGAAAGCAGTGGACAGAGGAAGCCGGCAAAGAAGATGGTGGTGAAATTTGGCGAGAATCCAGACTATGAGGCGCTGCGCGAGCTGTTCAGACACCATATTGAATCGTTTGATCACCTCGTGGATGCGGGACTGGAGACAGTCTTAAACAGCGTCAAACCTGTTGAAGTCTACGATTCATTCACCAACAAAAAGCTTAGAAATATCCTGTTATGATTGTTTTTAGTTTACTTTTTATTCGTATGTTCTCTTTGGAATTTGACTGGGTTAGTGGTTTTTTTTGTTTTTTTTTTTGGGTATAAATACTGCCGCATGTTTATTGCCTTGTACTCTCGCTGATGACTTTCATCCCCTGCACGAAGAAACTTATCTCTAACCGATGAATTAGTTGCATCCCATCACACATTTGATTATTTCGTCTGGTTAACGTTTATTGTGGACTTAAATGGATTCGGAGAATCAGATGGATCTCTCTCTCTCTAATTGTTTATCTCATTGAAAGTCGTGAAAACGGAGCTTGTGAATGAGTGCTGTCATGGATTTTAGTAGTTGTGGCATGGGAAAAATGATTATTTTCCCCTTCAGATTAGCTTAGTAGAATGGACGTTCAGGGTAGAACTTCTATTTGCCCTAAGGGAGCAGCCTAGTTTGGGGCTTGAGATCTCTTCGTCGAGGTCTCAATTTCGAACGTTTCAGCAAACTTTATACTAAAAATCTTTGATGTCTCCTGGTCTGAGCTTTGGGGTAGGTGCGGGTACCCCTAAATACAGGGGAGCAAAGCTTCAACTCCCATTTATGAAAGAAAAAAGAAAAGGTATAACTTATACGAAACCGTTGAACAACAAGTTATTCGAGAAAAACAGGTTCAACCATGGAACATATTTGATGCAAAAAGTTATGAATCAGCATGGTCGGTGAGCTAAAATCATCTCTTTGATCAATGATGGATTAAAGAGAAATATAGTGAATACCTTCATGGGTTGGTAAACGGGGCGGTTGGACTTTTGGGAGATGATATGAGAATTCAAGAAAAGGAAAAAAAGTGAAGGGGGAGGAAAAGGTGAGTTCTGAAGGTCTTTTAGGGGGTGAAGAAAGATTTTGTGCACAAATGGGAAAAAAATTGCAGCAGACAGGAAAATGATGGCAAGGGAGAAGAATTTAAACAAATGAAGTTGACTGATTTGAAGAAGGTTAGAGAAGAAGAATTTGTTCAAATAGTTAAATAAGGAACAAAGGGAAACCAACTAGATAAAAATGGCAAGTCTTGGAGAGGTAAAGAAGACAGAACATGATGTTGAAATGAAGGATGAATTTTCTGAGATAAGGTGGGACCAATCTCTTGTTACAAGAAGATTAATCACGATGAAGGGTACACCATCTTGAATTCTTCAAAGAATAACATGGGATGAGAGGTGTACCAAGGATTCTCGAGTTTGGTTTTCTAAGCATGTTGGAGGATTTTTCTTGTAGTTCTTTTTTCTGACGCTTGAGTGTCCCTTTGCTTCCCCTAGATGCCCCAGTTTTCGCCTCACTTTAGAAGGTTAAAATTCTGAAGAAGATCAAGTTCATTGCCCGACAAGTTTTACATGGGAAAGTTAATACTTTGGACTGGATTCAGAGATGCTCTTCCCTATTGCTAGGGCCACAATGGTGTATTCTATGTAGACATGCTTATGAGAATCTTGATCATATTTTTGGGAGGTACTCGTTTTCTGAGTCATTATTTGGGCAGTTTTTGGAGTTCTTTAGAGTTTACAGCGCGAGAAATAGATTGTAGGGTGATGATGGATGATGTTTTTTTGTACTTTTGGGATAAGGGCAAAATTCTTTTGCAGACTTGTTTTTTCGCCACTTTGTGGAGTATTTGGATTGAGAGAAACAATAGATTTTTTAGAGGGATAGATAGGTCTTGGGACGCTATTTGGAGCTTATAAGATTTAGTACTTCTTTGTGGGCTTTAATTATCAAGGAGTTTTGTAATTATCAGTTAGGTGTCGTCCTTTGTAGGTTTGGCTTCCTTTGTTGGGCTGGTATTTTCTATATGCCCTTGTACATACTTTCAAGAAACCCGATTTCTTATAAAAAAGAAAGATGAGAGGCCTACTATTGATGTTATGTTGAGAAAGTAGATTTTCAAAGCAATCAGAGATAAATGTGGTGGCTTCTTCAAGTTCTAAGAAAACCATCAATACGATATACTTATTGGAAGCATGTATTGAAATTGAAGGCAACAATTGTGGATTGATACCACGAGACGTCCAATTGGACATCCAAGAGAAGGAAAATTAACAGTGCACGTATGGTTAATCATTATTCTATTTCTAGATTTCAAGAAGGAAAGGTAAGGGAGATCCATGGAAACTTTTCGGAGGAGGCAGCTACAAGAGTCCTAAAAAATCCATGTGCTGCTGTTGCACTTGTGGTTGAGTGGGGGAGGGGTGATGGGAGGTGAAAAGTTGGCTGAAAGAGAAATAAAACAGAAAGGAATGCATATGGTTAAACATTATGCAGCTTCTTGGTGTGTACTTTCAAAAAATTTTAGGAACTGTTCAATCTCTAGTATCAAGTCTTGTTGAGAAACTTTTGGTTTTCATTTCT